TCCCACTCGGGAGTGCCGGTGATGTTTAGGGTTTAGGGTTTAGGGATTTATGGGGTGCGTGAGACCTGAAGTCACTGTGCGAAACTCGGACTTCTTCCACCCCGGAGCCCCTTCAACCCTGAAGCCTTCAACGGAACATCGGGAGACCGGAACCAATCAGCCAACACTGAACCCTAACCCTAAACCCTTTGATAACCTTAAACCTCTTAAACCCTTAACCCTGAACCCCACTTCCGTATTTTCCAGCCCGAATCGGTGACGCCTGCAGCTCTTCTTGCTGGTGTCGCATATAGACATGGACCTCAAAACTTGAGGTTTAGTTTGAAAACAGGGGCTCACGGTTTAGGGTTTAAGGTTTAGGGATGTTGGGTAGACTAGGGTTCCTTGTAAGGCCTTAACAATTAGAAAGGGGTTTTGGTTGTCGATTATGATATACTAGTACTATGCAATCCCTAGGAATGGTATCAGTCCTTGTTACGGCTTCTCTAGTCGGTCTAGCTTTAGGAGTCCTGTGTGCGGGCCGGGAAAGTTGGGCTAGGAAGCAATTCTTTCAGGATTGAACAAACTAGGCTTTCCAATGCTCTTGGGTGCCAGGTCTAGATTTGAGTATTACTTCCCCGAATTAAACCCCAAGCCCTAAACCTTAAACAGGCTCGAAGAAAGACGTCTGCTCCTTGGCTTGGTGGACAGAACTCGTTACACAGGCCTGTTGCAAGCCGAGAACTCAGCAGCCTCGAATTACTTGGCGCAATCTGAAACCATAGTTGCGTCTCTACCAGTGTTTAGGGTTTAAGGTTTTGGGCACCGCCCCATTCAGCCCGACCAATCCCTGGAGAGGCCTTGTGCAGTTCCGTGTCCAGCGCATCGCAAAAAGCTTGCAGCACCTCCATAGCCAGAGGCTGTGGGAAAGCCATAAGTTTGTGGGTTGGGGTTTAGGGTTTTAAACCCTAAACCCTAAACCCTATTTGGCGTCGTAGAGTTAAGGGCTACTCGTGGGGGGCTTCTGATGTAAGGGAATCAACCTGAAGCCCTTAATCGCCTTAATCCTGAACTCCAAACCCTCAGGACTCAGCCCTTACACCAAGCCTGCCTTACCTAAAGAAACATATATATATATATATATATATATATAGGTATATGCACATGCATGGAACCCACATGCAACCTGGAAGACTACTCTGAGCGCTCCAATTCCTTAACCCGGTACTCCAAAAAGCCCTACACAATTTATGATGCGCTTCGGAGTAGCCCTCATCCCAACCACGAAGTCTGAATCCTAACCCCAACCACAAACTTCAGGGTTGCGGTGGTTTAGGGTTTAGGATTTATGGGGTTGAGCAAGTTTAAATACCCAAACCCAAACCCTAAACTCAAGGTGCCCGCCTGGGTGTCCCCCATCTTCATGACCTTCTTCAAGAGCTTGTAGTCCAAATACCTCGATGTTCGGATTCTTTTAAGGCTTCAGTCTGGGATTGAAACCTAGGGTTCAGGATGAAGGTTTAGGGCTTTGGGTTTAGGGCAGTTAGGGCTTCACTTCTCTGCTTCTGTTGACTTGCATAGTCATAGGTAGGTTAGTAAGATGGCTCAACGGGGGTTAATACAAGGGTTTGGATACTTAAAGTTGACATACTACGTCGGAGCAGACCTGCGCATAGGGTTTTGGGAGTCCGGAGTTTATATTGGGATGTTGGCTTGAATTTGGGAGTACAAAGGGGGGTGCTGCCTGACTGGATTGGGGTCAAGGGTGGGGGTTTGGAGCCGGCTCTGACTGTATGCGAGGTTACATCACAACTCTCCGAGAAGCAGCGCAGCTTAGAACTACGTGGCGATTTCCCCAAGAGGGCCAATGCACAAGGATCCTTCTGTTAAGGGTCTGCATGTATGTATACAAATGTATATATATTATATATATATATATGTGTGTATATATATATATATGTCTATATATATATATGTACACATATTTATATGTGCACACACAACTGTGATTTCGTCGTGTGTGTGTGCATAAGTATATATATATATATACACACACAGAGCGCATACACCTGCCTGCCTGCCTTCAGCCTTACTTCCGACCGACACCCTACCCTTCAAACCTGAGAACCCTAAACCCTAAACCTTAAACCTTAAACCCTAAACCCTGAACCCTGAAACCTTTAAACCCTAAACCCTTAAACCCTTAAACCCTTAAGCCCTAAACCCTAAACCCCTAAACCCTTAAACCCTAAACCCTAAACCTCAGAGCCTTGAGGACGGGCTGCTGCCCATCCCATGCTTGCTCCAGCTCTTCCTGGAGTCGCTTCGCGAACCTTCAGAGTTCGGGGTTTAGGGTTTAGGGTTGAGGGTGCGGGGCTGGGTTTGGGGCTTTAGGGTTTAGGGTTTAAGGGTTTAAGGGTTGAGGGTTTACGGTTTAGGGTGCGGGGCTGGGTTTGGGGCTTTAGGTTTTAGAGTTTAGGGTCTGAGGGTTTAGGGTTTGTTCAGGGTTTAGGCTGCGGGGCTGGGTTTGGGGCTTTAGCGTTTAGGGTTTAAGGGTTTAGAGTTTAGGGTTTAGGGTGCGGGTTTAGGGTTTGGGGGTTGAAGTCAAGGCTTTGGTTTTGCACAGGGGGTCCCCTCCCCTAAACCCTAAACCCTAAACCCTAAACAACAAGTGCAACGAATAACAAGGACAGCCAACTAAAACGTTGGCGCTGCTTGGGAGCTTGAGCTTCTGTGGTCGGTTCATTGAGACATGCATAATATTACTATGACCATGTCGATTAGTAGTAGTATATTAGTAGCAATAATATTGGGGTTAATACCATTATTACTACTGTTCTTATCATTAATACTGTATTATTGCTCTTATGGTTTTAAGGGAGCACTTCTGAAGACAGCCAGGTCTGCAGGTCCAAGAAATTTGCGTTTGGGTGCCGTTGCGGCGCATCACATCTCAACACGGAAGACTCAGTTTCCGGGTAGCGCTGTTGTACCAAGAATTACTGCCACGAGGCACATTTCCGAGAAGAGTCGTCCGCTGGGCCATCATCCCACGATCACTACCGCCCTCACCACCATCACCACCACTATCACCGGCATCATCGCCACCATCACTTATATCACCAGCATCCCAGCCCTAAACTCTAAATCAATCCCCCAATGCAACCCCAACTCCCAAACCCAAATTGCAAACCGCAGCCAAGCCACTTCATGATGCTCCCGACAAGCAGCAGGGGACCAAGAATCGGATTTCCCCCCGAACTGCTCGTCGGCAGTTTCTACCTACCTACCTACCGACCTACCTACCTCACTGATCTATCCATCGATCTGCCTATCCATGTATAGTGTTTCCATCTTTATACGTAGAGTTTGAAGAGTTCGGAGTAATGCGGTATCTGGGGCGTGAGGCTGACATGGCTCCTCTTTATTCCAGAGCTGGGTGGGTGAAGTGTCGGAGTCTATGCAGCTCCTAGAGCCCTAAATAGAACCTTCAGGGCTTTTAGGGCTTAGCCTTCAGGCTCTAGGGCTTTGGGTTTGGAGTCTTCGGGTTTTTGGCTCCGTTTGAATTTCCAGAAGGCGCTCTGTAGCGCCGAGGCTGGGCTGTCGGAACCCGGGTCTCCCCCAAAGACAGTTACTCCATAGTGTATCGGGCAAAAGGCAGCTGCTGCGGTGCTCAAAAGACGAACTTGGAGGTCCGAGTTCGACGTCTTCCCGAGTTAGGGCTTTCATGGTGGGAATCGCTATGGCTCAGGGCTTCCATTCTGGGAGATCTCTATTACGGGGTACAGGGTTCCTTTAGAGGTGCCCCCCGGCAAGAAGAACTAAGGGAGGGCCCCATGGGTTCCCTGTAAGCAGCGCGGTTCCGGCGGCCGAGCTTAAAAGTGCTACGAAAACCACAGAAAGCCACCGCTCTTGAGTGGAAAAAGCAGCGGGGAAGAAAAGAGGCAGTTCGGGAGTTATAGACTCAAGGGAGTTCGGATTGAGACTTCTAGGATTTCTAGTAACCCTAAAACCTGAACCAAAACCCTGAATCCTAAACCCTAAACGCTAAATCCTACATCCTAAACCCTTTACCCTAGACGAAAACCCTGAACCCTAATACTAAACCCTAAACCCTCAAACCCTAAATCCTAAACCCTAAACCCTGAACCCTAAACCCTAAACCCCAAATCCTAAACCCTAAACCCTAAACCCTAAACCCGTTTCAGCTTCAGAGCTTGGTGGTGTCGGGCTTTGGCAAAGGATGGCGAGACGAAGCGAGCAGGGGCTGCTTCGAGGTCTTGGGGTTCAGGAGGGTTTAGGGGTTTAGGGGTTAGGGTTTAGGGTTTAGGACGGTTTAGGGTTTAGGGTTTAGGACGGTTTAGGGTTTAGGGTTGAGGGTTTAGGGAGGGTTTAGGGTTTAGGATGGTTTAGGGTTTAGGGTTGAGCATGTTACGGGGCGGTGAGGGCTTGAGTGCTTAGGGTTTAGGGTTGAGGGTTTAGGATGGTTTAGGGTTTAGGGTTGAGGGTTTAGGATGTTATGGGGATTGAGGGCTTGAGGGCTTAGGGTTTAAGGAATTTTCTAGGGGTGAGGGGTTTAGGGCAGTGTTCTTTGGATTTACAGTATGATGGCTCATGGCTCGGATCCAGAGCTTGGTTTGACTAAAGTATGGAGGCTGTGCCTCTTGTTCTTGAGCAGTTGCTCTGGCAAAGGGCTTTAGGATTCAGGGCTTTAGGGTTTCAGGGTTTAGGGTTTCGGGGTTTAGGGCAAAAAGCAGGTAGCTTCAAGCATCGCTTGCAACTCGCCGTAGTTTACTGCCTGGACGGCAATGGGCAAACAAAACATTGCTTGCTTTCTCTCTCCCTGCCCTTGTGACCCTTCCGACGGCATGCAACTTCCGCAACCTTAGCTACAAGTGCACCCCTAAACCCTAAGCCACTCTTGCTTGACTGGTAGCATAACCCTCAACCCTCAGTCCCAAACCCTCGAGTCCAAACACTAAAACAACTCAAGTCCCAAATCCTACACCCCGCCAGGGCACCTTCCATCATGACCGGCATCTCGGAAAGGTCCTGCACCCAGGAGAGCAAGCATGTCCCTAAGGGTTTAGGGTTTAGGGGTTTAGGGTTTAGGGTTCAGGTTTTAGGGGGTGGAAAAAGTTCTGACACAACAACATAGCAGTTTCCGAAAATAGGGGACCCTAATATAGTAGCCTAAATAATAGGATCCTTATTCTATTGACCCCCAAATAGGGTACCCCTAATTTTCGGAAACTCCCACATCGCATCAGCTGCACTCATCCGGTGTGAGCAGAGTTTTGAGGTCTTGTAGTTTGCGTGATCTTGCGTGGGATAACAACGAACACCCACTTTTGAGCAATGACTTCTCAGTTTCGAAACTACTCGCCTTTGATTCACTTAGGGTTGCGGTTTTAGGACAGTTCTTAATCATAACCAATCATCCAACAGCCAGCCATCCACTCACATAACAACCAGATCATGACGTGCATACACCTCATTCCGTCTACTATGTATTCTATTTTGCTGTGTATGCGTGCATACATACATAGATACATTCGCCCCTACATGCATGCAAGATTGCCTTCTCCTGTCTATCAAATCTTGGAATCAACTCCATGAAGCCTCAGTGACTCAGCCCCCCAAAGCCTTGACAACGGTGGCTCCCAGGACACCAGCCCGCATCGCGGAGCGAAACGCCTCTGCTGACAGAGCTTCAGACCCCAAACTCAGGCAAACCATCGAACTTCCTAGCCGATTTTTCCTTACCGCTTTTAGGGCTGCTCCGTCATGATGATTTCTTTTGCGCGCTGGCCTCTAGGTTCTGAGTTACGTGCAGCTCGAGCAGCCTAACTATCTAGAAAGAGAAGCAATAGCAGAGCATTTGCTGCCTGTCGCTTGTCATCGATATCCACAGTTTCGCCGAGAGGAGCATTGGTACAGTGTCGCTGTCACAGGCTTCTGACGGGTTACCGGTGGACTGAGGAATAACATGCAGGGTCCCGGAGTCAAGGGCACATGTGAGCGCAGCAACATATGTTAAGCATTCTGAGGACTTGGACCTGACTTCTCTGGACACACCAAGACAGGGCTTCGGACTTTAGGTTGCCGGTGTTACCAGCACTTCTCTCGGCTGAAACTGACACCAGGATCAAGCCCTAAATACGTGAAGTGCCTGAAACCCGAACCATTGCTCTCAGATCTGGCCATTTAAACAACTTGCCAGAAGCCCTTGAGAGTCCTAAAGCATCCTCGTCTCGGAGAGAGGGCTCGGAACGATGTCCCCTCCCTCTCAGCTAGCTGGCTATCTGGGTGTTTAGCCCTCAAAGACGGAGGGATGACATACCAATATCTACCATTTCCGTAGCTGTAGGAGGAAAACGAAGCATTATGATGATGTTGGTGAAAGATGAAGGTGAAGATACCAACACTATGATGATTATTCCGATGAGCAACATAATCATCATCATCCACCATCATCATAACCATCATGATCATCATCATCATCATCATCACCTAGAGGGCATTGACCCGGCCTCATCTTCGATTTGTGGCAAGACCTTGCCTAGGAAGGTGGGCTGTCTCGATGCGACGAGAAGTCCGGCATCCTGGCCCGGTGAGATGAAGGCAATTCGTGCTTGAGTGGATGATTCGGGTTTAAGGTTTAAGCTTGTTTTTATTAGGGTTTTTAGGGTATGAAGTGCCGACTTAGCCATTCATCTACGCACATTCCTGTCGAATTCTGCGGCCAGCTTTCTATCCATGGCTCTGACTCTGTGCATTATAGGCGATATCAGGAAGTGAGCGGATGATCCTTGGTTTCGGATCGAACAGCCGGACGAGGGGACAAGGACGCCTCGTGGTTGAAAGAACCGTCGGAAATCGCGATGCGGCCAGACAACAGGACTGGAGCTACAACCGTCACGGTCTGTAGTGCCTGAACACCACACACATTCAAGCAAGTTATGATAAACACGACAAACCAACAATAGTAGCAAGATGTGATGACTTGCCATGTAATTATGTATGACTGTCTCTCTGGCAGTCTCCTTCTCTGTCCATCTGCATGTCTCTCTGGAGGTCTGTCTGCATGTATGCATTGACCATCACTGGCTTCTTGCATGCACTCGTGTACACTTGCATATGTGTCATGTTCGTTCACTTGCTACTGATGAGTTAAGTCCTCAGGACGTAACCATGCCAACAGAGCTGGTACTGGGATGTAATCACGACTCACACTCTCCCACTGGTAAAAAAGCAATCGCCTCTACTTCACAACGACACTACAGGGGCCTTAATACTTAGAATAGGGTTTTGGGGCCCTTCATGCTATAAGTATAAGACGGAGCCCCAAAAAAATAGTTTCGGTAATTATTTAGGCCCTAAACCCTAAACCCTAAACCCTAAACTAATACTTCACAACCAGACTACGTGCTACCTTCACCCTGCCTGTCGAGCCCGCGACTCCGGTGCACCGGCAGAATCCTTCACGGCTCACATGACTCTGATCGCCAAGTACTAAACAGGTTTAGGGTTTAGGGTTTAGGGTTTAGGGTTCAGGGTTCATATTCCAGGGGAAAAAAGTATTTTTCCCCCTATAATATGGGGAAAATATGTTTTTCCCCTATAATATGTTTAGGGCTCACATGACTCTGATCGCCAAGGTGAGGCAATTACATCGAACTAAACAAAGGGGGCGCGAGCTGTCATTCAGAGTTTCTCCAGTAGATCTAGCTATCTAAGTCTTCTCGCGGAGTGCTGCTAGGTTGTGGGGTTTAGCACGAGGGCTCTTTTCATCTCTTTTCGTCGATACTGATGCTTGCTGGCAGTGAGGACGACGGCTCGGTCATGCTGGCATGGTGGGTGTGATTGGGATTCAGCGGGGATTAGGTTCGCATGCTCTTGCATGAAATCAGGAGGCTGGTCCAAATGGGTGTTCCTGTCGGCTGCCCAGCATGTAGGTTATACTTGGCACAAGGTATCTTAAGGCTTTAGGTACCATATAAACTAAAAATAAGAATGCAGACCTCAAATGCAAAGACGCACGTTCATGTGACAAACATGCTACACACTAGGCCCAGGTTGCGATGGTGCGGAGAGCCAAATCTAGTTGAAAGGCGGAAAGTATGCAGGCCTCAGCCAACAAGAAGAAACTACGGGAAATGAGAGTCGACCCTCTCCAAACTTCCCAAAACCTGTGGCCGCGTCCTTGATCTCAGAATGCCGAATCACAACAGGTCTGACGGTCGGGTAAGAGTTGCGAGTTAGACTGACGAACACCCCTGAAGCCTTGCACTATAGACCCCAAACCACGAGAATTATTAATTTCAGTTGGTATTGATTACATGATAATTGATATCAACATGATGATTGTTGCTATTACCATTTCATGTAAACATGACTATGATGATGATGAGAACTATTACTGCTACTAGCAGTATTACTGCTAGCATTATCATTGCAGTAAATTGTATACTATTCTGAAATTTCACGATTGTTAGTATGATCTGCACTTTTCTCTCAACTTTGACCCAGCAGATGTCAGTCAGAGCCGCAAGCATTCCAAGAAGGAGTCAGGCCCTTGTTGGGAGCTTGTTTCCTGCGGAGTGGTGCTTTACAAGACTTTACGACCACGACTGCTTATTAAAATTAGAGTATAATATACCCCAAAAAGTCTATTCTAATAAGGCCGCCTACATAAGAAAGGACTAACATGGAAAGCCAAAGCTGCGGATCCTGTCGCGTGTCCCGCCCCAGGTGGCGTACGCGGCTGACCTCGGGGACCTCAGCAAAAGAAGTCGGCTGACGGGGAGGAGGACTTTTGGTTTCGTGAGGACGAGGGGTCGAAGATCTGAAAACCATACCCTAACCCTCCAGGTGCCTACTACATCGGGCCCTAGGGTCTAGTACCCTATATAATTAGTAGGTATTTGGGGGGTTAGGGATAGGCTGAAACCCCAACCCTGAACCTTGCAGATAAGCGAGCTACGCCCGTCGCTGTCCTGACCTCTTGAGAAGCTCAGCACCTGGCGATACACTGGCGACCTGTCAACGATGGCAGGTTTGTCTGGATGTCTATGTTCAGTGTCTCGGGTTTTGGGGGTGTTGTTCTGCATCTCCAGCTATGGCTAGTTCAAGCTTTGGGGTTTCGGAGCTGAGCGTGCAGTGTTTGTTGAGTGGGGCTCGGCAAAACGATGAAGATTATGGCGATCATGCTGATCAATGATCTGCAAGAACGCGATGGGCAGAAGCCAGCCAGTTGGAACATTCGTATCCACCGTATCAGCTATAGCCAGCCTGGAGGCCAACAACAGTGGGAAGCAAAACACGCAATACCTAAGGAGACGCAGTTCAAGAATGGCTCCTGGCTGAGTGCAACTCCTCCCCAACTCTACAGAACTTCGCGCCACTTTGTGAGCTCGGCGACACAATTTCGCTTTGACTAGTCCCTCAGCCAAATTTTCGGAAGCGCGATCTGTGTTGTTGTAATATTCATGGACCGTCAACTCTTGAATCGTAAGGCACTGTCACACTCAGCGAACATCCTCCGATCGACTCTCCACTGAATTCCCATACTCCCCTTTGCACCTCGCGACACAGCGGGCGACCGAAGATGTTGCGCCTTCGCACAGGTTGTTCATGGTAGTCAGGGAAGGCTCGATGGTGGCGGTCGAGATCGCGGTGACAATAATGGCGAGGATGCTACTGCAAATGATGCTGGTGATGATGGTGCCAAGTAGTCAGCCAGTGCAAGTTGAACCCTGAACTCTACATGCGAAGCCCAGTGGAAGGCTTTTTGCCCAAGATGTCAGAGCTTCAGAAATTTGCGAAGCAACACCCGAAATACGGCACGAAAGGTGGGGTGAAACAGAACGACCATGGCCTGGACCACCAAGAGGGCTGTCAACACGAGCGTGTATGGAATGACTGCAGCGACAGCGAAAGTGGACCCCTGCTGGTCGCTCGGCGGACGCTCTAGCAGGGTGTACACTTGCATGGCAGGCAGCCAAACTGCAGAGTAGCACACCCAGATCCTTGGCCAGATGTCAAAACTCAATAGTACTAGAAATGTGCCACACTTGCCCGTCAATTTCTGTTGGCAGATCTTCCAGATCATCGCAAAAATAAACAGAAGAACTGGGACTGCAACAAGCAGGATACTCGGGACAGTAAGCCAAACCTGTAGAAGCGCGTAGTCTCCAGCCGGCAGCTTTTCTGCCCGGGAATCCTCAACGAAGGCCACTATTGGTAAGACTACATGGCATACCCCAAAAAGTAGACTGTCAAGCATGAGTGCCGCAACGACATACTCTTCCAAATGGCACAAGTAGAGGCCGTCAGGGCATCTGATCCTGAGATGGACCTGGGGGTTTCGAAAATTAGGGAATCCCTGTTGGTGTCGCTGTCCTTCATATTCATGATACTGTACCCGGCATGCTTGAGAGGAATAGAAGCACAAGGCATGATTGTTGGAAACCCCTACCTCGCCATGTCTCCTCAAGCTCTTGTTCCGCCCAGTCTGCATGATGGCCAGCGCCTTTAAGCCGAAGCAGTTGTGACCGAGATCCAGCAAGACAACCGGCTGCTCAAAGAGGGAAACAAAGCTGGCTGCCCCTTCATCTGCAATGGAGTTGAAGCTCAGGTCCAGCTTTCGCAAGAAGCGGTTGTGGATCAAGGCATCGGAGAGGTGCTTGGCCCCTGTGCATTCAACGACGTTGCGAGACAGATCTAGTGATTCCAGTCTGGTCTCCTTGCATGCGAGTGCATCTGCCAGACCCGCTGCACCTTCCTCATCCACCAAGCATTCAGTGAGTGCCACCTTCAACACGGCACTGTTGCCTTTCAAGCCCAAAGCTAGCTTACATACTGCGTCCCCGGAGATGCGAAGCTTGTTGAAATGAAGCTCTGACATCGTCAACACGGTGGATAAGGCCTCTGCACCCTGACAGTCAACCTGGCTGTTGTTTATCCGCAAGACTGTCAGGTTCTTGTAAAGCGACAGTGCGCCGGCGAGGATCGGAACTTCGCGAGGGGGCAAGACGGACATCTCCAGCATCACATTCTCCATCGCCTTCTCCATGAATACACGTTCTTGTAGCTCCTTGACGGCCTCAGCACTGTCTTGGTGCGTGAAGAGAAGCTCGCTGTTCGACACTTTGGCTTGAAAGACAGCAGGCGCCATGGGAGCTCTGGTCCAGGTCTCCGGAGACACGAAGGAGAGCGAGACAGTTTGTCGAGAGTTGCTCCGCATGCTCGACCACTGGCTCTCAGCCTCACACCAACCCCGCCGAGAGTAGGGTGTGCAGTTCTCCTTGAGATCTGCAAAAGGCCGTACTTCGACCTTTCCGTCTTCGGGAATCCCTGTCTCGGTGAAGAATACTTGAACTTGCTTCTGTCGATCAGCTTCTTCAGAAGAAGTCAGGTCTTCAATGCGGTAGGTCCATGTGTACTCATGTGTGTAAAAGAAGTGCATGTGCATCATCGTGTATTGAAAACTTCTGTTCTGATGGACAGTTGTGCGGTAGAACTGATAAACCGACATGTAGTCCAAGAAATACCAAGAATATCGGTCATGCCAAAGCTGGGCCCCGGCGATCAGCGCCAGTTGATTCCCCCTGGGGTCAGCATGCTCCCTGGTTTCCCACACGTGAGAGACGCCGATGATCCGAACCTTGTCGCGATATGCCTTGTCTTGCTTCCACTTCTGTAACTCTTCGCGCGTGACGAAAGCATCCGGGTAGCTCGGATGGTTTTCCAACTCCTGGCGACGGATGAAAGTTTGCTTCTCTCGGTCAAGGGCTTTCAGGCAGGTTCCCCGCACCAGGCGAATGTCCACCCTCTCATCCAGGAGGAGGTCGGCGAGTCCAGAAGGAGCTGTACCGGCTCCCCTGAAGCAGCCACGCCTCCGCCCTCGTGCATTGCGACCCCCGACTGTTCATCGAAGGTACTCGGATTCACAGTGTTCTTTCCCGACATGACCGCGCGGCGTCCCTAAGGGATGCGCCGAAGACAACTCGGGCCTGAAGATGCAGTCGCCCGTTCATCTGAAACCTGGTTGCTGCCCTGTTGCTGCCCTGCATCTACTGAGTAGGAGAATTAGAAATCTTCCACTACAAAGCTGCCGGGTGTGGGGTGTGGTGTTGGCTCCACTTCGTCTTTCCGAGGCATTCGTGAAACTCCAACGACAAAGCGATGGGACGGTGCAGGGTCCCGGGTGGTATCCAGCCACGGCGACATACTGCCCTAACCGCACATGCTATGTAAATCAGAGGGACGGAGAGGGCACAAAAGGAGATTCGCAGAGCACAACTTCAAGACCACGAAGTTCAACACCGGAGCAGTCTACATCCCTGAACGCTTCTTGCTCCAGCCTCCCGGCCGTCTCAATAAAACCTGCTTTACTAGGGTCTCGGCCCAGTCTTTCTCCGGCCACCGGGGCAAGATCTCCGTTCGAAAGAGCCTTGCCAGAATGTACATATGGGAGTTTCCGAAAATAGGGGACCCTAATATAGTACCCTAAATAATAGGCTCCTTATTACAAGGGCCCCAAAATAAGGTACCCCTAATTTTCGGAAACTCCCATATCTGTTCACTGCACGGTTCAGGGCTTCCGGCTTCAGGATCCTCCTTTTCATGATGCTCGTGCCTCCTGGTAGGATACAACCCTAAACCCTAAACCCTAAACCCTAAACCTGAAACCCTAAACCCTAAACCGTATACAGGGTTTCGATACAGGGGCCTGCGGCTAAGATGTCTTGTGCTTCGGGTCGCCGGACGCTTGGGAGCTTCGGGGTTGGGATTTGAGTCCTGGTTGCAAGGAGCAGCAGGGCCCGTAGAGTACTTGGAGGTTCATGGGCAGTTATAAGTGGGGTTATAAGTACGGTAACTATACTTATAACCCATATTAGGGGACTTATAACCCTACTTAGAACTACCCATGAACCTCCAAGTAGAGTAGGGCTTAGGGTGTGGGGTTTAGGCTTTTAGAGTAGGACCTTTCAGCTGAAGGACGACTTCGGGCAGCAAGTGATTCGAGCGTTACTAGGCCCACGAGGCTGAACATGGAGGCGTGGGCCCTGCTCCCCCACGAGTATAACACGTATCCCACAGTATGACTTGGGAGTTTCCAAAAATTAGGGAACCTTATTTGGGGGTCCTTAAAGAAAGGATCCTATTATTTAAGGTACTATATTAGGGTCCCCTATTCTCGGAAACCCCCACTTGACAATACGGTGCTCTTTCGTTTGGACAAATCGTCTCGCTGGAGAGGCTGCACGGATTTGCGCGGTGTGCGCTGCGATTCCGTGACTCCCACTGCAGCGATGCACATGTTCGACCAGATGCTTGCCTTCTCATGATATGCTCTAGTGCATGAGAGACCATGTTATATCAGTCCATATTAAATACGACTCAGATCTCAGAACACAGAGGCCATCCAAACCCCACGTGGTCCCTGAGCATTTTTTTGAGCCTTGTCGGAAGCTAACCCTAAGGGTCCAAAGGACCTAATAATTAATTAGGTACTTACGTTTCGGAGAGTAGTTATGTAGGGTACTACTGGGTATTTGGCAGAGTATACGATTATTAGGTACTTGGACCCTTAGGGTAACCTCTGAAAAATCAACCCCCAAGGCGCCAAACGTAGGCTCGGGGCCGCACTCGGCGGGCAGCATCCAAGCCAGGCTTCCGGCAAAGACGTCGGTACCTAGGGTTCAGTTTAGAACCGAAACTTCTGGGTTGAGGGCGGTTTACCCATAGGCTCCATGGTAGTTCGCTTTGGGGATAACCTTATAGGATCCTATAAGTATTCGCCACAAAAAAAGGAACGACAACGGAGCCTATATAGGTAAATCTGATGCTGTCACACTCATGTACAAGTCTGCAAACTGTTGTATGCTGCGCACCAGCACTGAGAAGATATGAACTCAGACTCGCATAACTACATGAAGGCTGAGGAGGTTGATAGACATGACTACATGGATAGTTCTCTAAATTAGGCTCCTGTGTTAGGTCCCTCAAGAAGAAGTACGGCAGCATTATAAAAGGATCCTAAAGGGGACCATAGTTATCTAAATTAGAGCACTATCCATACCCGGAACCCAACTGTCCTGCAAACGACGAGTCTCGGAAAGGTCTTGTTGGCATCTAGGGTTTAGGGTTTAGGGTGCCGTGGGCCGGAGATGTCCGTTTCACCAAGTCTGACGTCGGCGCACAGTAGCGAGCATTGCGTGATGTTCAACACCGTGAACATTTGTGTAGATGATGGCAATGCTGACGAACATAATCGACAAGATGCCCAGAACAAGTAACTACATGTAATTACTCTTGTAATATCCTCAAATCCTTAAATCCTCAGCAGCCCCCCGCAATGACAACATGCTGACCACCAACGTGACAAATCACTGGCAGCTGCCAATCGCTCACAATCACCATCAAAACCAATGTTGGTATAGTGGGCCCCGAAACCCTAATGAAATTATTAAGGCCCCTATATTAAGCCATCCCTAAACCCTAAACCGTAAACCCTAAACCCTAAACCCTATATTAAGCCATCATGTGTCGATTTATTAAGCCATACTGTGTGGATTTGCCGTTGCTCGCTTCACCGGGCCCCGGACGCGTGAGCCCACTGAGATCCGAGGCGTATGGCCCCAGTCCCAGCTCGTTGCGGGCTGAGACGCACCACAAGGACGGATCCTACAGGGTTTAGGGTTTAGGGTTTATAGGGTTTAGGGTTTAGGGTTCAGGGTTTAGGGTTTAGGTTTGAAGTTTAGGGTTTAGGGTTTAGGGTTTAGGGTTTATAGGGTTTAGGGTTTAGGTTTGAAGGCAGGGCGTTGAGGTTTGAGGGTTATACTTGGAGGTTCATGGGTACTTAAAAAGTGGGGTTATAAGTAGGGTAACTATACTCATAACCCATATTAGGGGACTTATAACCCTACTTAGAACTACGTACCCATGAACCTCCAAGTACAGGTTTGAAGGCCCAGATTATGGGGCTCCCGGGGCTGAGGGCTGAGACCTAAGCAACACCTGCATTGAGACTGCGCATATACATATATATATATATGTATATATATATATACATATATATATATATATATCATATATAACAACCCCCTGAGGAGGCCAAGGGTGGCCAAAGCATCTTATGGTACTACGTATGTACATGGACTCGAAAAGAGGGAAACTCAACACCGTGTCCTTGTGCATCAGCGGTTCGAGCTGGGCAAAGAAGTACAGCATATCCTCCGAAAACTACCAGGTACCATCTGCGAGTCTGTGACTGGTAGTCTACACAGCTTCAGCTTCATACCTGCCGAGTGGAAAGCACCGTTATATAAGTCTTGTCGGGCAGCTGCGTGATTGAGCGATTCAAGGCCAGGCATGAATGAAGACGTAGCATCCCAGATCGGATCAGAACATCATTATGCCTGGGGTCCGCGCGGGTGCTGCCTCCATGTCGTCTTCCACCTTCACTGCGAATGCGTGAGAGCGCGATTTCGTCGTGTATAGGGTTTCCGACTCATGGAGCAAGCAAACATGTCTGAGGGTCTGACAACCACAAGCGTTCGAGCTTTGGGGAAATGCTTGTGCAAGGCAAAGGAGATGGCCGCCCGGTGATGCCTGTGGATGTACGCAGACACGTACACAGACGTGACACAAACACACCCACACACACTCTCTCTCTCTCTCTCTCGCTCTCTCTCTGTCTCTCTCTCTCTCTCTCTCTCTCTCTCTCTTGCTTGCTTGCTTGCATGACGTTTGGGGCCAGGGGGTGTCCCCTGAACCCCTGCGCACAAGCG